AAAAAAAAAAAAATCATGCTGTTGTTAATAAGGTGGAATAGGCCAGCAGTTATGTTAATGAGGACGGACTCAATCTACAAGACTGAATTTTGTCTTGAGCCGATCTCTTTTGAGATATAAAAGACAGAAGCAAGCAGAAATACGGGGGACTGCATACCACCAAGAAAGCAGCACCGGGAGCAGAGCACATCCTTTAGACCTGGGGTTCCTGTGTGGAGAAGCTCCTAGTCCAGAGGAAGATTGAGGACGAGGACCTTCCTCCAGAGCCGACAGAGAAAGCCTTCCCCTGGAGGTGATGCATTGAATTTGGACTTCTACCCTACGAGACTGTGAGAGAATAAACTTCTGTTTCTTAAAGCACCCCCCCCCCAAAAAAAAAAATCACGCTGAGTGAAATAATTCAGTCATGAAAGGACAAATACTATATGATCCCACTTATATGAAATATCTAGAATAGGCAACATACAGAGACCAAAGTTTATTAGTGTTCATGAGGAAGGTGAGAGGGAGAAAAAGGGGATTTTTCCACAGAGGCACTGAGTTTCTGTTAAGGGTGATGGAAAGGTTTGGTAATAGCTAGGGGTGATGATTGTACAACATGATGAACATAGTAACATTACTAAATTGTGCACATAAAAAATGTTGAAATGGCAATTGTTTTGTTATATATATGTGTACCACAATAAAAAAAGAAGAATATGGTGTGAATATCATCTTAATAGATGTAGAGAAATCATTTGAAAAAAAAATCCAACATCCATTCCTGATAAAACTCTTAGCAAAGTAGAAATAGAAGGGAACTTCCTCAGCCTGTTAAAGGGCATCTACCAAAAAAAAAAAAACAAAAACAAAATTATATTAAATACAAGGGTAATGGTGAAAGAGTGAATGCTATCCCCCCCTAAAATCTAGCACAAGGCAAAGATGTCTCCTCTCTCCATTTCCATTCAACATTGTCCCAAAGATTGTAGCCAGGACAAAAAGCAAGGGGGCGGGGGGGGGGGATGGGGGACAGAATCCAAATTGAAAAAGAAGAAGTAAAACTTTTAATTTGCAGTAGCATAATCTTCTTTGTGGAAAATCTGATGAAATATACAAAATAAGCTAATAGAACCAATAAGTTGTTTAAAAATGCTGTATGATACAAGATCAATATACAAAAATCAATTGTATTTCTATGTAGTAGCAAAGAACAATTTGAAATTGAAATAAAACAATACAATTTACAATAACAAAAATATATGAAATATTTAGGGATGATCTGACAAAAGATTTACAAAACCTGTGCCGTGAAAACTACAAAACTTCACTAAAAGAAATGTAATAAACTCTAAATAAATGAAGGTCTCTGCTTTCACTGTGAGAAAACAGAGAAAGAGCAAATATATACCATGTTCAATATTTTTAAGATGTCAGTTCTCCCCAAACTGATGTATAGAATCAATGCAATTCAAATGAAAACCCCACCATACTTTTTTGTTTAATTGGCAAGCTGATTCTACAATTTATATGAAAATGCAAAGGACCTAGAATATCCAAGACAATTATGAAAAAGAAGTCCGAGGACTTTCACTACCTGACTTTAAGACTTTATAAATAAAGAGAGCAGAAATAGACCCACATATATATGATTTCTGACCAAGTTGCAAAAGACAATTGAGTAGAAGTCTTTTCAAAAAACAGTGCAGAAACAACTAGATATCTATATGCAAAAACATGAATTTTACTCATACCTTGCACCACAAACAAGTATCAACTTAAAATGAATAACAGACATAAATATAAAACTAGAAAACTTCTAGGAACAAAACTGGAGAAAAACTTTGTAACCTTGGGTTAGGCAAAGATTTCTTAGATATAACTAACACTAAAAGCATGACCCATAAAAGAAAAAATGATAAATCGGGCTTTATCAAAATTAAGAATTCCATTCTTCCAATGAAATGGTTAAGAAAATGCAAAGACATGCAACAGACAGGGAGAAAATAGTTACAAATCACATATCTGATAAAGGAGTGAATGAGGCCAGACAAGAGAAACATACTGCACAATTCCATTTTATAAAATTCTAGAAAATGCAAACTAATCTATAGTGACAGAAAGCAGATCAGTGGTTGTCTAAGAATGGGGGGTATTACAAAGGGGCACAAGGAAACTTTTAGGCATGATGGACATGTTCAGCATCTTGATTACAGTGATTGTTTCATAGGTATATACAAATAGTAAAACTTACTAAATTGTACACGTTAAACATGTGTAATTTATTATATGTAAATTGCACTTCAATAAAGCTATTTAGAAAAAATATGCAGTGAAGCTGAGTTTGAGTAAAAGAATGTATTTTAAAAATTACTACAAGAAAATATAAATATTTTATAATCTTAGAATAGAAAAGATTGTTCTACATAAAATTATAAATCTTACATGTTAAAACAAGGAATGCAAATAGTTAATAAAGATAACAAAAAGTCTATACTAACAAATAATTTAGAAATGCAAATAAAAAAGATGTCATTTTTCACCTAGCAATGTCAAAAATTAAAAAAGATTTAACAACCCAGCTGCTACCCTGCGTATGAACCCTGATGTTGGGAGTGTGAACTTGTGCAATTTTTCTGGAAGAGAATTTGGCATTTGAACCAAGTTTTCAAATGTGCATACACTTTAACTTAGCCATTTGTCTTCTAATTTTATTTTTTTAATTTGTTATTAAGTCCCATTTCCAAAGCAAATAAGAGGCAAATGAATGTTGATGAGCATAAGATATCCATGATGTCAAAACATTTGAGACCAAAATCAGGAGGAAAATGAATGAGTTATCTAAGCTTTCCTTAACACGTCTTAACCAATCCATACCTCTTTTGTCTAAAGTATGCATTTTTACCAATCTCTAATTGGGCTTCACCCATCTACAACAAGAGCAACCCCTCAGAAGCCAGGTGCTTTAACATTTTTCAAAGGCATCAATAAATTCAGTGTTCAACATGTAATTCCCAACTCTATTCCCAGGGTAGTATAGAAGACCCTAGAAACTAAATAAGTTTGTGGATGTGGATGGTGTTATGAAAGTAGTAACTCTTTCTGTCTTCTTTATAATCCGAATTTGTCATAAGAAACCTTACTAAGGAAGAAGTAAAAGGAAGTGATGTGAAGTGAAGTGAGAGAAAGAAGGAAAGAAGGGAAGAGAAGAGAGAAAGAAAATAAAAGATACAAAATTATTTGCTAACAATATATACGTGCATATACCCAAACTCAAACTAAAGAATAGAAAAATTGTAATAAAAAGCATTCAATTTTAGAGATTTTTCAAAGAGTTATATGTAAATAAACTTTTTAAACACTTCAAACTAATGAAAAATAAATTTTAAGCACTTTAAGTAGTTAATAACACAGAAGTTGACTTACCATAAATTTCTAAACCTTGTGGGAAATATTCTTTGTATTCTAAATCCTATCCACTAATGCAGGGTGAGGATGCATGTCATAGCCAACAGTGCTGATTTTTAATGAAGGATTTAAAAGGGTTGATTTAATCCCCAGATTTCTTTTAATCATACCCCATCACCAAGAAAGTTAATAGAGGTAACACATTAGAAACCTTGGCTACTAAAGATGTTTCATCCAACGAAAACCTCTCTATTTTCCAAGCTACTCAGAAGAAAAACTGATACCTGGAAAAAGTCACACTTTCACAAATTACCCCAAACGTTCACTGTGATAGTCCAGCCTTAAATACGAAGCCCCTCTAAACAACCAGAGCCAAGGAATGGACATGCACCCACTTTACCTCTGAAGACATCACAACCACATAGAGCACCTACTATGGACATTGCTTATCAGGGACATAAGAATACACTTTTAAAAAGGTACATATCCAAACACTTACAATGAAGATGAATAATAAATATTTATATACTTAGAAAAGGGATATATCCAAAAACCTACAATAAAGGTGAATAATAAATATTTACATTCCAAGTCAAAAAATTCCACCGTCTAAAAAGAAACATTTGATGTTTTCATTTCTGAATACTGAAGCAAAATAATGATCAATAATTTTAATCAAGCTTAAAAGGTGAACTCTATTACCTTGTTGATATAAGCTATTTGCCTTTGAACAGGCAAAACAAGAGGGGAAAATCCTTAAGGCATTTTTATATTCTTACTTAACAATTATCTGATAATTACCCCATCATTACCTGCTGATGAAGGATTCCGTTCTAAATTCCTAACATTTCTGATGTTACAGGCATGTTACTTCAAAAGTCCTACCTGGGAAGAGACTGAGAAGGCTGACTGGAGGTTTGTTGGTATCAATAGTTAATTTGTGGCTTGCAGTTTTTGAAGGCTGACCTGGTAGGCAGATTAATTTCAGGGGAAGTCTAAATTTACATTGGATAATTCGAGGAATACCTGAAATACAAAGAGAGAAAAAAGTAGATTCCTAGAGTGATAGACTTGATCAATAATATGGCAAAAAAAAAAAAAAAAAGAAAAATTGGACAACTATTAGTTTGGATAGCAGCATTTAGTTTAAAAGTTTGTTGCCTGTTCATATCATTTATCATAACTGAAGTAACTGTGAAGTATTCTCATAATTCATATGTTTAGAATATTGTCAAAAAGTACAAGGCAAAAATAAAATCTTAAAAGGCACATAGGCATGAGATCTGCCTTTAATGTTAATAACACATTTTTAAAATAATCACATTGGAACACTATAAAACTTTACAGTTACATTCAATTTCTGATCGTCTTTAAAGTAAGACCTTCAAACACCTAGCCCTAATCCAAGTCTATTATCTACAACGAGCAAAGAATATGAAGTTTATATCATTAGGACTCTATATTACCATATCTAATAATTTCTCTACTCAAAAATATTTTAAATCTTTAGCTTTTTTACTTATTTCAGATTCAAATTACATTAACAATTTTCAATAAATTATGAACAGGAAGCAGAATCTGCTCTACTGAAGTTCATGTCCATTTTACACATTAATATTAAGAATATGACTTTTATAGGAATTAAATATTTCTCAAGCCATTTAACTTTACATACTACTATTAGTGGCATTTTCAAAGGCTTACATAGTTATTCAATTGTCTAATTTTTTCAACACACACATGCATATTGGCATAGGTACTTGAATAAATAAATGATAACAATGAAGAGTTTTGTGTCAGAATTTTTTGTTTTTTAAATCATTCCTTTCAATATTTTTACAGAGGATGAAACTGAAACCAGAGCAAATTAGGTTCTCTGCTTATAAATTTAGAAAAGTAATACTACAACCTTAGTTTTCTCCCCCTTTTACTCTAGACTCTGTTTTTCACTGGATAAGATGAAAGATAATATATAGAAGACTACATCTTAGCATACTTCTGTAGAGAAATGGAAAACTCAAAATGTTCTACTCAGCAATATATTTGTTAAAGCCAAATGGAATTGTATCGTGTACGCCACATTCAAACTGGGAGTACACTTCTCAGTACTATTTATTCACTAGGATAGTGAGAGACACTCAACAATGGCAAGCATATTGATATATGAGGTCAATTAAATGCTTTTTCAGAGCATGTGGAGCATATTTGTCATTCTCTTCAACATAATCTATTATCCATCAAATTTAACATAGCTCATTTTTTGCTCATAACCAACAGATGTTAAATTCACTTCTCCTGCAATCCTAGATGCAAATTATAACTGGTGCCTCTTAAGAAAAGTCCCAGGGTATTATTTCCTGACATTCTGCGAGGTTTTCAGAGGCATGTGTATTTGTACTTTACAATGATAAAATGTTTTGACTCAAAATATTATGGTAACATGATCTAAGCTACTGCCCAAACCACAACTATCAATATAACCGCAAAACAGTATAAAGCTCAAGTTTTCCAACTTCAAGAAAATTTCCATATATCCTAGATATCTCCAAATTATGGAATTCTACCCACTGAATATGTTTCTTTACAATACATAAATTACAGGATCAATTAATAGATACAGTCTGGAAAGAACAAGAAAACTGAAAGTTGCTTCCTTTTCTTTCATTTGTAGTGCAAATGAAAAATACTTCATCTTATGATAATTCTGTATATGCACAAAGGGAAGCTGTCTTCTATACACTTTCAACCAAAGACTGAGCTAATTGTTCAAACAAAACTTGGCTGCAAATGTTCTGCTAAAACTATACTGTGACCTCTACTTGGACCAGCTACTGACTGAACTTCTGGCAAAAAAAAGAAAAAATATGACCAACAACACTGGTCCTATATTACCGAGTCTACATATTTGAAGATTACTACCCAAAATCTCAAAAAAAACAGAATTAAAGTAACTGAAGAGATACAAATGTTTTCAGAAATAAAAACAAATGGATCGCATACACTAATAAATACAAGAAGGGAAAAACATTATAACTCAATTCACAATTCAGTGAGGGTCAGTTAATGACAATATCACACACTAGGGCAACGGTCTGTTGTTGCTAAGATTTGTAGAACCCCTCCAGAATTTTCTCTCCAGGAACTGTAAACCTGTTTCATAGGACATTTGGAAAACATTACTTTGAAAAATGATGACACTCATACTTAATAAAATGATTATAGCTATTTTTTAAATGATGGCAGCTTGAAAAGTTTTACCATTAGGGGAAAAGAGAGTATAAAATTCTTTAGAAACTAGTTTAAGAAACCTTTACCTTTAAAAAGAAAAATTAGAACACCAGTATTTTATAGTACTTCCCAGCAAATTAAAACTCAAGCATTTCAAAATACAACCTGAATTATTCAGGCATAGGGTTTATCAAAGGCACATTTCTATTGGGATTTACATTTTCTTGAGAATTTTTAAATGTAAATTTGGCTACCAATTACTCTTCAGACAGTATAATTGTATCTAAGAACTTGGAGCCAAAGACAAGTAGAGGTGTGTGTGGGTGTACGCGTGTGTGTATCTGAAAGAAGGAAGGAAAGAACTACATCTATTTAAAGACTTCAAGGTTGCTAATAGAAAAGCTTTCAACTAGTTGAAAGAGTCTAATTGGTCCTAACTTTGCCTACCATCAGCAATATTTTCTCTATATAGTTGACAAAACACTCTCTATACTTGGCTTATTCAACTCTCTGAATGTTATCCTAAAAAAAAAAATTTTGTCATTTATTTTACTCAAATATTGGCCACTCACTCATCAGACTTTGTTCTGCTGTTTTTCACCCAGTATAATCACCTATCCTTCAAATACTTCCTTTCCTAGTCTACAAGAGGAAACGGATAGTTCCAATTACTATGGTACAATTAATCACAAAATTCTTTAACGCTTAGAAAACTCACATCAAAACCACTCCCGGCAGAATAATTTTTCCAGGAAGAGAATACTAATTACACCTGGCACATCCAAGAGCCCAGTAACACTGTCAAGTAGGAAGCCAAGATGTGTTTAAAAAAAAAGGAAAAAAGTAAACGTATATCAGAGTAGGATAACTATATCTATATATTACACATCTATATAATGCTTTTATAACTCTTTCCAGGGGTCTGCTAGAGTCATTTCATATTGAAAACAAGGAACCCCAAAGCAGTAGCAATGTCTGGTAGCCAGAACTTCCTTGATCCCTTCCTGTTATGTCTGGCGACGTACTGTGCTTCATCTGCACTCATGTTTTACACTGCCCATGTCATGTAACTTTAATGCAGAAATAATGGAGACTAACTCTTATGGGACAACATAAAACCTCGTTGGCTTCTCTTTTTCCAAACCTAAAAGCAGAACTGCTTATCTGAAATACAGCCTGAACAGATGAAGCCAATAAAATGAATCAGCCTTTGAAATATGAAGCCTTGTGTGTATGTAGGGCCTAAGTGGCAACATATTATTTTCTTGCCTACTAGGTGAGGCTGAATATTTAAACCCTACTCCCTAAAGCTCCATTATAATTTTAAAATATATAATAAGAGATTATTAAAACCAGCTTTAGCTTTGAATTGGAATACTAAAATTCCCATAAATTGTGATTTCATTTCTCTTGGTTTGGGTTGAATTTACAGTTAAGAAGGAAAAAAATTATTTCAACAATGCTCTTTACTGATTTTTTTAAATTTAAATGACAGTATGGTACCTCACAAAATTTAGTCCAAAATCTTAACAGTTACATGTAAATATTCATTATTAATACCAGGTTATTTTTAATGACCCTCTAATTTGACAAGTGTACTTCATGTTATTAAGTTAAATGCTTACTTCTATTAAAATAGTTCTCATATAAGCACATTTTCACCTCCCAGAAATCAAGATGATACATGCTATGAACTTGACAAGTGTACTTCATGTTATTAAGTTAAATGCTTACTTATATTAAAGTA